CAAGACGGTTTCTTATGAGTGCACTCGTCAGCGGTTGGCTGCTCCCCACGCCGGCCGCACGCTTGTTCGAGACCCAGAAAATCGAATTGGCGCGTGGTATGAAGCAGACATCCGCACAAGCCGACGTCGCACGAAGCCTAGAATCCCATGCTGCCAGATAGCTGTCTGTCTCGTCTGAGCTGCGAACCTCATGCTAAGCAGCTAAGGTGAATCAGTTCCATGGCCAAACCCGACCTGCGCCGTGTGGGGGGCGGCAGAGGGACAGCGAATCGTCCGGCAGCGATGCGAGCGAGAGTCATTTTTGAGTCTGCTATTGGTGCATCTCCGGTACCAGCAAGGGGTCGCTCAGGCACAGTCGCGTCTCCCCGCCATGCCCCGGGCTTTCGTGGACGGGAAAAGAAACCGGCTGCAAGCCATCCCCTGAATCTCGAATGTGCGGTGTGAGATTTTCTGTTTGATTGAAAACGCCTGGACAGCAGCATCAGCCAATGACCTGCCATATTCCCGAGTGAATATCGGCCGTTGGCGGGATTCGTCCGAGGGCTCTGTCGGCCTAACGTCTTCCTTGCATTACGTGATGCAAGTAATGCCTCTGGAGAGACAGGAGGCTAGGCGCTGTCAGATGCCAGAAGGCATTGGCGACGCATTGGGGCGATCGAGAATTTGATCGGTTCGTTGAAATCCAGCCATGGTTCTGGACTTGCCTTGTGGCAGGCTGCGAACAACTCAATTCGGCGAGACGATCTCGATGCATCTTGGAATGCGGGCGTGAGGCACTGATACCAAGCGGTTGTCGGGAGCGCCCACTAGTCCGACAAACGCGGGGCAATCCTACATTATGCCAAACCCCTCTTGACATCAGGCATGGAGGGGTTATCTCGACTGACCTCACCAGCCATGCAATATCTGGCGAGACCTAGCGATGAAAGGTGCCCATCGCCGGCCAGAGGCACGGCCGATGGTGGGTAGGTCGGTCTCACCGTCCGAGCACCAGCCGGCGTCGAAATCCACGGAACCGTCCGCCCTTAGTGGGACGCTCGGAGCATGAGAAGTCTTGACCGCTTGTTCCGCGTTGAGTAGTGCTGCCCGGAGCTGAGAGCGAGGGAAAAGTTTCCTCAACGTCAGGCCTCTCTCCCATCGTCGCCCAATTCTGGGAGGAGGGGTTGGAGGGGTCGTACGAGGGGCAATTCAAGGCAAGCAAACCTGATTAAACTTTTCATTGTATCGGATTGTCCAGCCGAAGAATAGGTTCTTTGAATAGCGCTCGCTTTTCCAAAACAATCCAGGAATGGATTTTCTGGGGCCTCTTCATATGCAACCTTGATAACGATGTGTTGGCTCCAGTCGCATCCCGGGCAGGCAGAGTTGACCGCCCAGGGAGGGGGGTACATGGCCAACGCATGCATTTGGGGGCGTTTCGCAAGTCACGCCACGAGGCTGCGTCCTCTGCGTTTTTCTTTCGCGATGCTTTCCCCATAGGACTCGTGGTTCGAAGAAGTTCTTCGCGCCCATGTGGATTGATGATTGATAATGCACGTTGATGGGAATCTTCAATCGGGGCGTCGTCGTTCCCCATCATTGGAATCAATTCCGGAAGGAGACACTGGAGAGAGAGAAAAAGTGTGTTGGTCCGCTGGGTCCGGAGCGGTCACGATTGCATCATGAGCTGTGCTGGTGGGTTGACGATTTGTTTGGATGGGGCCGCGGGCCGCGCGCAGGTGTCATTGCTGTTTCATGAGGGTTAGTCTTGTGTGCAGCGCGATCTCCACGCGGGACGAAGTGCGTGTTCCTGGCGATGGCCGGTGCGCTGGCTGTGGGTTATGGGACTTTGGGTCTCTTTTTTTGTCCGTTTGATGAAGGTTGTTCCCTCGTGATCGACAGCCTTACGGGCGTGTAGTGGTTCATGCCCGACGGAAGGTTTTGTGAGTCATAGGGGGAGAGAAGCAGTTCGGGGTTCTGGGTGCTGGAGTTCGTGGGAGAGGATGGGGATGTTCCTTGTGAGATGTGAGGGACGTGAGAGAGGTGTGTGCTTGTTAGTTGTGAGTGAATGAGGTGAGTTGATGCCTTTTTTTCTTGCTTTTATGAGGTCTCATTGCCTTGGAGTGGAAGTCAAGGTTTTTGAGAGTTCGGCTCATGTGCGGTTCTCATCTCGCATGGCTTCGATGAGATGAACGCAGTGTAGGTGAGGGATCGGATGACGGGTGAGCGTGTGTGAACTTTACCTTGAGCATGGCAAGATGTTGCGTGATTGCGGTTGTGATAAACGTCCTCGAGTCGGGTCGATGGTAGATTTCAGAGTTGGGTTTCTGGGTGTCAGTGATGCTCGTCGATGTCCTCTTTGACTTGCGAAATCTGCTGGGTTTGGTCTGCAGTCTTAATCTCAGAGCCCGCCGTCCGTCGAGTCCCAAAACACCAGCTCTGCAGGTAGAAAAGACGTTCTTCGGGATGTATGCACCGGTCTCCCATCACACCGTTGGCATAATCTGCTGGTCTACTCATCATTTCCTTCGATATGGATAGCGGTGCAAAAATGCCTTTTCCCTTCTCAGGGCAGAAGCGTTCTCTGTGAAGCACAATGGACCTCTTGGGGCGGACTTGCCTGCCACTCGGATGGTTGCGAAGCTCATTGTCTTCTGGATCATAGGGTTATGCGCACTCTCCAGCGGGAACACTTCATACCTGGATCGAAAGCTTTATACATCTTGCCGGTGGCAGTGTGGCGCATTCGATACCTATTGAGTTTCTTGCACAAGGTTCAACCGCCGCGGATGTAGAATCGGGGTGGAACCGAAAGGCTCAACACGACCGGGGCGAGCTTTGGGATCATTGTGGGAAATTCGGACCAAGGTGAGGAGCAGCTTGTTTGCGGCTTGGCCCATGGACGGCTTCACTCAATCATCTATAACACGCAGGTCCCCTCCTATAATCATAAATGGAGCTTGGAGTTGTCGGCAGTGTCTATCGGAGGGTCTGCTTCGAGATTCTTGGCGTGTGCTCTGGGTCAGTGCTATCTCGCGGTTGGGAGTCTGGTGATGGCCGACAAAGTGCTGCGATTGCACTTCCAATACCTTGGTTAAGAACGTGACGAATCATTGTTCAACTGTGAAAAGCACTCAAGCTGCTTTCTGGAATAGATGGGTCTTCTGCCTGCGTGTCTGCCTCGGCTTTCCTGTCCGTCCTGCCTACCTCACATGCTCCGTTTGCCTGGACCCTCAACAATCACCAACTTACCCAAAAGTTCTGAGAGCTCTTCTAGAGGAAGGACTTTTGGCTGGAGAGATACAAACGCACGTCAATTTTCTCGTTCTCGCAAACTTTGGCTATCCGGGCAGTGTCCACATACAGATGTGCAGTTCGCATGTCTTGCTGAGACCCTCCTTTTCCCTTGTGCTCAAGCGACTACGTCTCGCTTTCGTCGTCGTCTTCAATCACCTGTGTCATCGTCCTCCATCGCCGTTATTTTCATCGCTACCGCTTTAATCGAAGCGCTACGCGCGCCCGATCGAGGTATCCAGTACGCTGCAATTGAAGCCATAGGGAACACTGCCCTGCTAGCAAAAGTCGTCTCAGATACTGTTGTTCCATATGTTCCTAGTCAACTGGGAACATGCCATGGCTGAAGGAGGCCTGTAAGTATTCTTTGAAACCTAATCACTTTCCTATCCGATGTTGAGCTTTCAAATGATTTGAGATGACAGAATCATGAGGTTTGGGCTCGATTACAGAGGGCCTTGGCGGCCGCCGTACAAGTGCGGACGGAATTCGAATAGGGAGCAAAGCTGGCGGTCTGCATCTGGACGAAGATGTCCACAGAAGTGAGCGCTATCCCCTGTAAACCCTTCGCAGATATATACAAATACAATTCAAACTTTTGAGAAAGATGTTACTCTGCACAAGGCGCTAGGGCATACATATTTGCCTCGAGCCCGCGCGGAACTACCTCGTCCCGCCACCTGCGGCGGTCGACGGTGCACGGCGAACACGGTGATGTTGAATCTCATTACGACCATGGAATACCCTCTGAAGATTCAACAGTCTTACCATAGAGATAGTATTGGCTCATGTTTCTCTTTGTTTACTGAAAGAATGAAACCTTCTTGGTGATAACGCGAAGACTTGGCACTTGGAGCTCCCCTTCTCAAGCCATGCGGCCGTCGCAATGTTGGTTTGGCTGACTTTGATGAAACTGAATACATGCGCAATTCAACAATCTGATCCATGTGTGTTGTTTGAAAACGTGACTCCACGTTATTGCAACAGCTGGGTGTGTTGTCGATAATGGGGAAGAACTGACGTCTCAAAACATCCAACTCCGCCGGCTGGCTGAGACATCAAATCTCTCAATCATTACCAAGAAAACATGGCTTAAGCAGTCACCCACTTGTGATCTCCAAGCCCAGACCGATTCCACAAGTGCCTGGTGAACCTCAATCCATCTACCGCTTCCACGGCGCTCCCGGAACCGTTCTTTTCGAAATGCATTATTTTCGCCAAAGACCCATCTTCATCTTGGAAAAGTCATTTGAGTACTAAAGCCAGGAGGAGAATGGGATTTGAACGCTCAGACGTTCACACGAACCTACACCCTCGTTGTGAACATCGTGAGATGACGTCTTGGTGGTGACAGAAGCTCAGGCCGGTAGTGGACGACAGGGGTCTAGCTCCCAGCCCAAGCAGCCAATCAGACCGCACGCGACCCACTTAATCGAACTTCCTTTCACAAGCACCAGCACTGGCAGCAGCGAGTGAGTGCGAGAGAGGGGCACGACCAAACCGCCCTCTCATCGCCCGTCAAGCCGCCTCACGATTCAACAACCAGACGGCGACATACGACACTACGAAATCCCCGCCTACGATGGACACAGCATCTACCTCCTAATTTTATACAAAAAGCCTCAAAAACCCACACCCCCCGCATCATCTTCCAGAGTGAGATGAGACCCCGCATCAAACCTCTCAAACGCCGTCCCAAAGTCACCTTCAAGCGCGCAGCAGCAGAAATGGCCGCCGCATCCCAACCCCAGGACCGCCCGGAAAGCGACGTGGACGAGGAATTCATCGACTACGAAAGCGAGCCCGAGCCCTCGCCCGCCAGCCAGCATAACCCCGCCGTCCCAGCGCTCTTCACCACGCCGCCGGCCGTCCGCGACGCCCTCCCAACCGCCACCTCCAAGCTCCAGGACGACACCCTCCGCCAGTGCCTGCCCTTCCTCGCCGCCGACCCGGGCAGCACCGCCGCCAACCCCGCGCGCAACGCGCACGGCGTGCCCGCCCTGCTGCGCGACAACCACGTCAAGTTCCTCGAGAAGCAGCTCGGCCGCTTCCCGGCGCCCTACGTCGCCGCCGACGCCAGCCGGCCGTGGTTCCTGTACTGGTCGCTCAACGCGCTCGCGCTGCTGGGCTACGACACGGCCGTCTACCGCGACGACCTGATCGCCACGGTGCGCACGATGCAGAACCTGCCCGGGGGCGGCTTCGGCGGCGGCCACGGGCAGAACTCGCACCTCGCGACGACGTATGCCGTCGTCCTCGCGCTGGCGATTGTCGGCGGCGAGGACGCGTACGAGGTTATCGACAGGAGGGCGATGTGGCGGTGGATCTGCTCGTTGAAGCAGCGGGATGGGGGCATTCAGATGACGTTGGGCGGCGAGGTGGACGTGAGGTGAGTTTCTGCTTTGCTTTCTCTTGATGTTAGACTATTCAAGCTTCTCTCTGCTTTTGGGCTGAATCCCTTGTCACACCTGCTTTTTCTGACCACGCAAGGAGCCGTTCAGGGGAGCATACTGCGCCGCCGTCATAGTGACCCTCCTCAACCTCCCACTCGAACTCTCTACCGACTCGCCGGCCTGGACGCCTGAGCGGCCCACGCTCTTCACCGGATTGGCGGATTATGTACGCAGATGTAAGTCATACCTTAGCCCGGTTGCCTCGTTTTCTTATGTGCGTGTGTGTATATGTGTATGTGTCTTGTTTGCTATGCTTTGCTTTGCCTGCCTGCCTGCAGCAGCAGGGCGCTGCTTTCTACCGCTCCATCGCTCACACCACCACCACTACTCTCAAGGCCAGACATTCGAGGGAGGCATATCGGGAAAGCCGGATGGTGAAGCACACGGGGCCTACGCCTTTTGCGCGCTGGGCTGCCTCTCGATTCTCGATACTCCGCATCGCATCATTCCAAAGTACGTATTAATCCCCCAACCTCTCTTGTCCCTCTTCCTCCTCCTTCTCCGGCGCCCGCATAGACGCGGCCAGATGTCCGGATCTTTGCATCCCCTCCGGTCCACTGAGAAAGTGACATGGAAGCGGAAGAGAAGGAAAGACAAAAAGACCGCTCACCTTGCATGAGACTTTCAAAAGTAATAATGAGAAACTGACCTTTTTGGTGTGTGCCTGGCCTGCCTGCCCCGGTAAAGGGGAGGGGGGCACACGCACGCACGTTTCTGCTTGCGAAATAGATACCTTGACGTGCCACGACTCATCTCTTGGCTCTCGTCACGGCAGTATGCCCCGGAGGGTGGCTTCAGTGGGCGCACGAACAAGCTGGTCGATGGCTGCTATAGCCACTGGGTCGGTGGGTGCTGGCCGCTGATCGATGCCGTGCTGAAGGGCGCGAGTGAGCTCGAGGAGGAAGAGACAGCGGCTGCGGATCAGCAGCAGAAGCAGCAGCAGTCGCGGACAACCCCCGTGGAAGGCAGTCTGTACAGTCGTGAAGGGCTGATCCGATACATCCTGTGCTGCGGGCAGGACTGTAGCAAACGTGGCGGTCTCCGTGACAAGCCGAGCAAGTAGGCGACATCTCCCTCCCCCCCCTTTTCTTTTCCCTCACCCGAACCATAGTCGTTTGCCGTCATTTGATTGCTGACGATGAAATGTGGCCAGGCCGTCGGACGCATATCACACCTGCTATGTGCTATCTGGACTGAGCTCGGCCCAGCATCGGTGGGACCTCACATATGTCAATGAAGACGAGACGATTCTGCCAGAGCCCAAGTGGGTGGTGTCGCCTTGCGCCGAGGGAGCACAGATTTTCGACGAGGAGGACCGCGTCGGGACGATCCACCCCGTCTACACCATTCCTCAGGAGAGCGTCGACGACATGAAGGCGTATTTTGCGGCAAGGCAGGGATTCTAGAGGGGGGGAAGGAGTTCGGACGCAGCAGGCGCCACCAGGCCGCCGGAGAGGCGACCGCCCTCCCCCTTCTGTATTATAAGTCAGGAGGATGCGTCGGAGCTTCTTTGTGTCACGTGGGTTGTTAGAGATGAATAGGGGGTCGGTTCCGTGGGCGGAGGTCCTCCGTTGGAATTAGACTCCGTTGAAACGCGACGCGCCTACCGACGGCGGATTATTACGAGGGGTGGGAATTGCGGAACGAACACGACGGGCCTGCAGCTTCGAAGGCCCGGCGTAAGAGATCTTGAACAGGGATCGTGCGCGGAGGGTTTGGACAACTCATCACGGCAATATAACGGCGCAGGCCACTCTGCGCGGGCTGTACATGTCGAGTTCCAGACTGGGTCTCCGAAAGGGTCGAGGTGCATGGTAAATCCGTGCGCCATCTGCAGCACGCGAATCGAAATATGATGGCACGGGAAATGAAGAGTCTGTTGATGGCAGGTAATACAACGCAAGCGACGATTTGTGGCCCTCCGAGGATGTTCTGCCAGATTCATTAGTAGGCACGTACTGTCAATGGGATGCCCACCTTTCCTCCCGTCCCGCATTCAACATTCAACATCGCGATGGAAGAGGCTGTCTCCTCGGCGCCACTGCGTGGTGGCGGCAAATGCACATCATCCCCAGGCCGGGCCAATCTGGCGTCGCGAGTTCCTGCAACACGCCACTCTGATGCCTTGCCGTGCGGTTCTTGTGCGCAGCCGCCTACGCCTGTACTAGCTGACGGTTTGAGAACGACGTGGATGCTTGTCTTGGGGGGCGGCTGGCAACTTTGAGACACGAGGCAGACCAGCCCAGCCAGCCCTGGGACTCAGACAATACTCCCAGATAACCAGAGCGGCAGGCTGAAGAGAGACATTTTCTGCGCGCATGGTGGATGATCCCGGTAGACTGACCTAACCCATGGCGTCCACGCAAGGCTCGATTGGCGCATCTCGCTTTACAGCAACTGTGCAGGGCCTAGGCGCAGATGTCTTTGCTGTCATACATGAACAAGATGCAGGTGGCCCCTCTTTTTTCTTATTCTCTCTGTGGCTCCGATATCAAAAGACCCGGATGCCGTGTTGTGGCCGCAAAGCGTGGCCGCTTTGTGTCTCAAGGAGACATAATATTTCCCACTTATCGTTGGGGAGGAAGTACGCGTTGTCGGCTGATACATGTCGACGAAGCGACGTTAGATTGGGTCCCGCCCGGGCGGACGTCGACGGCCAGCAGCATGACGCTACACGTTCGCTGCTCTCTCTCCCTCTCTCTGGCGTTGCGTGAAAGAAAAGACTGGTTCCATGCTGGACCAGACGATGGCGTGGCCATGGCTGCTGCGAGCAGAACGATAGAACGGCGGTCTGGTCTGCAGTGCAACGTACCAACGCGGGGTCCAGTCAGAGGAGCCAATCTCTCATTCTGTGCATCGCGTCTGGAGAAGCGTCCTCTCTCGCGACCGTCGAGGGTCCAATGGCAGATATCGAAGGAGCATGTTTGGAGCGGATGACGTTGAAAGAAGGCTAAGCATGTTTGTTTCTTTCTAGCGGGGTGTGGCAGAAGTTTGGCTCGGACAGGTCCCTGATGTCTCGCCCCTCACACCCCTTATCGCCAACATTGGAACCCTAGGAGGGAAGCTCTGCGGAGGGAGGGGGGTGTCGGGGCAGGTAGGGTGTAGACGGTACACAAGAAGGGACAGCAGCGCAATCATGGGCTTGTATTCCCGAGCCACCGGATCCCGCAGGCGGTGGTGACAACAACCCGACGGTGGGTATTGGAGTCGAACGAGATGGAGACTGTGCAACGGGCGTCGAGGGACAGAGGAACGGTGAGGCCCATGATGGGGAGTCACGAGCTCTGGTGAGGCCTCAATGGGCCGTAGAGGGCCGGGGGATGATACGAGAGAGGACGAGAGTTGCGGGGGCTCGAGGTAGCGCTGGCAGTGTTGGCAGGGCTGCGGAAGAAAAGAGGCGCAAAAAACAGATGTCTCGGGAGAGGTTCCGGAAGCCGTGAGGGTATGCCTCAGGTCCATGTTCCTTGTCGGTGGTCCGGTTTGGTGATGGACGGCCGTGGTCCGGATGGGTCGTTTGATCACCGGATCTTGGATGACTGGGGGTAGCCCGATGCTTGATGAGCAGTAGAGTTTGGATCTGGCGGTTCTCTGTTGCGGTAATCGACGGCAGAAATTTGCGTTGACGCCTATTTGTCGAGGGCATGGCAATGTGTCATGGAAAAGAGAAGCTGGCGTACGTATCCGTGAAGGTCACGTCACTCTCAGCCACCGCTGGGGCTTTGCGCAGCAGCAGCAGCAGCATGAGCAGGAGTCAAAAGGTGAGGCAACCTAGGTACCTAAGGTAGGTAGGTAGGTAGGGACGGCACTCCATCAGTGAGGTTTTGGGTGTAGCTGTCTGTCTGTCTACCTTGGGGCTGGGAAGCTGCGAGTGGGAGAGCTATGGATGAGGTCGGCGCCGATTTTGAGGGGTTGTGGGGACGGTGGGACGTCGGAGGGGCGGTCGATAGAGATGGAAGGGACCAGACAGGGTTCTGGAAGGTGCAATTGACGAATCAGAAGACAGGGCGGCGTCTACAGCGGCGCTAGTAAAGCTGTGATGGCAACCTGGAGCTCAGAGGCAGGAGCTACCCAGGCAAAGTGGCAGGAACTGGGGGGCTGCACCTGCGATGAGAGAAAAGATGGAAGTCGCACCTGCCAAAGCTGCCTCACCTTACCTACCTCACCTCACCTCACCTCACCACATGAAGCAGGCGCCATGTCTCGTGGGTTCCTGATATCGAAGAGACACGAAGACGCGAAGACTCGGAGCCGCTGGCGTCTTCTTCAAAGTTCAATATCCATTCTTTGACTCTGACTCTGATTAGATCTTTGGCAGGAGGGCACGGGCGATTCGCTTCACGTTCCTTACCTTACCTGCCACCGTAGTTTGGCGCCCTTCCTTAAGGTACCTTAAGGAAGGTAAACACGACCTTGAAATGCTGCACCTGCACCGCAGCTGCCGCCTGTCAAGGCCACTGCCTCGGCGCCTCCCCGACCTCTTCTTGCCTCAACGGAATTTTGAACTCAACTCCATCCGGACAATGAGGAAGAGTTCGTCCGCGGCAATCGCAGATTCACGTCAAAAGTACTGGTACAAGCACGTCGGCAAAGCGTAGGCGCCTCAGGTATGGATACCTCACCTACATTACCTACCTGCGCTTTCAATGTGCAGAACAGGGTTCGTTCCCGGGGAGGGTATGATGAGGTCAACGGTCAGGCAAGGTAAGGGTCGTCGTTTTATGAGAAAAGTACCGTACCTGGCTTGCCATTCGCAATCACGAATCTCACTGGAAGAGAGAGCGAGAGAAAGAGAGAAAGAGCGATATGGCTGGCAAGCTGGGTAGCATCTCGAGGCATGGAACAAACTGGACGTCCACCTCTGGCGGCACTGCCAACTCATCATTGCATGGCCTGCGTCGCTAACGCTCTGGCCCTGCGCTTCTTTGCCTAGTTCTGCCTTCGCGCGCGCACCAGTTGCAGCGCTGCATCTGCCTGCTGTCGCTAATGCTGCAGCACCACCACCACCACCACCGTCCACGACTCCTCTTCCTCAGTCAGGTACTTCTTTCCTTGGTACGAACACTCCTCGGTAGAAGTACCTCTCCATATCGCTTTCTTGCCAGGGGTACATCTCGACTCTCCACTCCTCCCCACGCTCTTCTCCTCCTCCTCCTCACTCACCAACAACGCTGGCAACAACGCTGAACCACAACCACAACCACAACCACCACCACCATCGCGCCCACAGGCCCTCACCATGGCCACGGTTTTCCCCCCTCCACACCTCCTCACCTCACCTTGACCTCTCGGCTTGTCCCTCTCCCTCGTCCATTCAGAACGTCGCCTCCATTCGCCAACGCGATCCTCATTTCTGATCTCCCACACCTTTCGGTCCTGTCGCCGCCACGACCCCCTTTGGGCCATCCAACGGTCTGCCTTCGCGTGGCTTTTGGCTTCTTCTCTCGGCCCATCTGCGCCCTTCCCTCCGCACCCATTCCGCCCATCGTCGGATGCACATCTATCTGCTACTCTGGCCTCACCTACCTACACCGCAGAGTCCATGAAGGCCTCTCTGGCTTGCCCTGCACCGCCCTGCCCTGGCAATCTGCGGCATCCGCAGTAAACAACAGACTGACGGGGGGAAATAATGGAGAGATGCAGATGCGTCTTGCAGATGGTCAACTGCCTATTGCAACGATAACGCCGCGCCCCCCTCGCCCTTCCAGGTTCTTCTGGCCATACCATGCTGCTCATCCCACCTTAAGGGCCAAGTCCAGCCAGAAAGAAGCTCGCTGTCTGTTTCCCCATGTCAATGGATCTCGCCCCCGTCGAACCCACTTCCAGTAGTCTTCTCTCGGCGCTGGCAACTGTTCATGCACGTCGTCCACCTCCCTCGTCTCTCACAGCGACAAGAGATGAGAGATGACCTCTTCACCGACCTTGCAATCTCGCCCGCGCGTCCGCTCTGCCGCCCGCCGGGGATGGGGCTACGCTCTCAGCGTTGGTTGGTCACCGCACGCCTGCCCTGAGTCCCTCATGTGCCGTTGAATTCAGTTCCCAAAGAGAACGACGCCAGTCCCGATACTCCAATCCGCCAGCGCCAGCACCGGCGTTAAACGGCACCGGCAGCACCAAAACCACAAGAAATCATCTTCAATCAGCGTCTCGCCGCCGACCGCTCCGCTCGTTCGCGTACACATCACTCGGAGTCGAAATGGCCTATTTTAGTCGGCACCCATGCTGACGCCCCGAGCCAACGAACGGCCGGCCGGGCAACAAGCGCTGATTCGCTGCTCTGGCCTTGTCCCATCACCGCAAGGAACAGCTGGACGGTGTACGGTGTACCGGTGTACATCACTCTACGGGGAATTTTCTCCATTTCCTCAGCCGCTGATTCGTCCAGCGCACGCAGGGCAATTGTCATTTT